ATGTAGAGAGTTCTGTGATATAAATTACATGTATTGTAGTGTTTCTATTAGGAGATGCGTTACATTGTTCGCATGGTATTACAAAGACATTCAATGCTCGGTAACTAGACACTTTGCAGCAGCGACAGATTGTGATGAAGGATTCTGTTATGCAAAAAAATAAACCTCATTAAAGTGCACCTGTCTCGGTACACAAAACGTTATCAGTAAAAGAGGGTAAAAAAATCATCTACATCATTAAAAGCAACGTGACAATATTGTCCCTCTCCATTACGTTTCGGCCAATCCTCGACGATGACAGTTGTGTTGATGGTGTAGTATGTATGCAGAGAATTGAACGATACAAGAGGACAGAGAACACAAACCTACCAAACCTAGAGAATCAATTGAGCTTGAAAGGAAAACACCACATTCATGGCTAGCCTTACTTAAAATGCACTAAAGTAAAATCTCAGCCAATTACAAACTAGCCATTCAAACATATTAATTCTCCATTATAGTATAAAGTATTATAAAGTATGCTCCCGCCTATCTATCCTTCCTTATACACAAGTATGTCCCGTCTAGGCCCTTACGATCTGCTGTCCGTACTCCCACCTCTGATACTCGCCTTCAAGATTTCTCGAGGGCTGCACCGTTCCTGTGGAACTCGCTTCCCTCCTCCGTTAGATGCTCACCCAGTCTCCACTCCTTCAAAAAATCGTTAACCCACTTCTTCATAAAAACGTATCAATTAAACTGTTAATAGCTGACTGATTCCTCTTCTGCAACTGTCACTAGTCTAATACTATCCTTACCTTTTTGTGTCATTTTACCCCACTCCCTCTAGCATGTGAGCTCATTGAGCATGGCCCTCAACCCCTCTGTTCCTGTGTGTCCAACTTGTCTGGTTACAACTACATGTCTGTTCATCCACCCATTGTAAAGCGCTGCAGAATTTGACGGCGCTCTATAAATATCATAATAATAATAATAATAAATCTAAGAGGGATACCTTGCCCGTGTTAATTTTGTGCGAACAAGAGATTGTGGTTAAGGAGCAGAGGATGTTATCAAGATAGGAATAGGGAGAGATCCAAGAAAGACAGAGGACACACGATTGAGTGTGGTGATCTAGACACAGTCCACCTTGAGCATATCTGCCACCTCACTGAAAATAATGAATATTTCATGAACATAGACTCTGAATTGAGTTTCCAACACAGTCAAAATATATCATAATACAAATAAGAACTAATTAGTCTTAAAGTGATAGTTCCCGTAGCTTTGTGTTAGTATATTTGTATAAGGATATATTCCAGGGCCAATGGGGGTCCCGAGCATGCAGCCCTGCTGGAATCACAGGTCCTGCTGAAGCTCCACAGACAGCCAGCCTGCCAGAAGGACTCTGATGAATTTAACCATTACAATATGTTTCTTCATTTGGAAAGAGCCCTCACCAGGCCCCATCCACAGGTGAACTCCTCAGGGGGTTATCCTTTGCAGCTTGCCATTTGTGGCGATCTAACTATTAATATAGTACCTAAACCTATTTTGGAAGACTGATGAACTATACAAATACACAGTTTATTAATATTGGACACTATTCCTCCCCCCACTCCCCTTTTTTTCTTTATTTCCATTTTTCTGTTTTTTAATGTTTTGGGGGGTGTTTTCGTGGGGATCACCAACACCTCCAGGACTATAAGGTGTCTATACAACCTTTAATTATGACAAACCTTGAGAATGAAATACGTGTATGGTAGAGGTGTGTTTAGTCATTAGGATCATGTTGTCTCATGTGGATGATGGTATTCCATTTCTGATTTTCCTGGCTATTTTTCATACATTTCGGATTTATTTCATATGACTGAGCTATGGTAACTCTGCTAATTTACGTACTTGATTTTGTATGATTACATTAGGTGATGTTTTTTATGTTTGTTTTTTTGCACGTCTGCATAATTTTTTGTGTTCATTCTCTTATTGTTGTTGGCGAACAGCTGAATTATAGATATAACACAATTAAAAATATAACTTTAGGTATTGCAAATAGTCTGAGTGTGGTATTATTTGTATATTTGTTTTAGGTATAGAAAAATAAAAGACAAAATCCCAGTCACCTACCCTGCTGGAGGGGGTGAGTGGGAAAGACTACAGCCTAAATGGAATAGTAGCTAAACCAAAAGAAAGTAAACCCAACCTTAATTATCAACCAGAAGCTTGAGCTACTAAATCCACAAAGGGGACCCTTGTATAGGAAATATATGGTGTCTAAGAACACACCCCTCCCGGAGCCTTTGGAACTCTGATCACGCCCCCCAATTAGCAGATTGGTCGAGAATCGAATGTGTACCGCCCCTTGATCGGGTGTTTCGGATGTGGCTAATTTAGACTCTGGTATTTAAGTAAGTACTGACAGCGGACTGGCTGCTTTGCCCCTGACGACGGCGTTATCATACGCCGAAATGCGCGTTGGGCGTTTTGTCATGTTTACTTTTTTGCATGTTGTGCACTTTGCACTTTATGTTTTGAGCCTTTCTCTTGAGGGTTCTTGGTTTAGGTAGGCACTAGCCTAGTGCGGTGCCAAGGTATATTAGGGACAGACTAGCTGTGGTTGTGTGTTGATTTGTTTTTTGGGGGGACTTGATGGGTTTTATTTTTGTAGCTGTTGTGCTATTGTTTCAAGCCCCCATTGGGAGTGATTCCCTTGGGCGGGCCTTTTACTATTTGGATACAACTTTTGCTGTGTTCCCCCCTTCCCCTCCCTCCTCGTCTTTGACCCTCTATCCTGACTTGGTTGATAGGAGGGGTTTTCTTCACACAGTAGATATACCCCTGGCCTTGTCTGTCCACGTATTCACATATATACTTTAGACCTGGCTCTTAGACACTCTATATTTCCTATACATGGGTCACTTTGTTGATTTAGTAGCTCAAGCTTCTGGTTCATAATAAAGGTTGGGTTTATTTTTTTTTTTGGTTTAGCTACTATTCCATTTAGGCTGCACTCTTTCCCACTCACCCCCTCCAGCAGAGTAGGTGACTGGGATTTTGTCTTTTATTTTTCGATATTAAGTGTGTAAGGGTTATCCCCTTAGGAGTGAGTACAGCCTTGGTGACCACTTTTCTCGATAGGTGATGTGACTGGGTGATTTTCTCTTGCCCCTTTGGTCACATCGGTTGGCAGAACATCATGTGGCCACATCCTCCTGTCATCCGCCATTTATTGGTTCTTGTTGTAAGTATAATTATCCTCCACTGTTACCCCAGGCCTCAAAAACCCAAGCAGACATGTCTTTAAAAATTTAAGACCCTGACACTAACAGAACCATTTCAAAACATACACTACATTCAAATGCAATGGCTATTCTTTGGATAGGCAGAAGCAGGAAGCTGTGAACTGTATCAAAGTAAGCTGTAGGTCCTTCATGGCTATCATGAAAAAGTGGATATACTGGATGTGTGAAGTCCAGCAATAGAGAAGAAAATGATCACTGCATTCCAGAATCTCTGATGGGAGTCAACCCAGCCGTTACGGACTATAATGAGAAGGAAGAGATGATGAGAAGCAAATTTTCCCATGTGGAGAAATATGTGTGAGTTTTGTTCACTGTGGTATTTGTACCTTTTTTCGTAGTGATCTTGTGAGTTCATGTAATGTCTAATGTCCTGTGTGTTTTGGGAAAAAATTATTCAGTCGAACCAAACTTTTCCATCGTGTACAAGTCTAGCTTACTCGAGCTAAACCAGACTATGCGCTCACAGGTACAGTCCACGTTTTGGTTTGTGGACAATGGACAGGGTACAGATGGACAGAATGTGGAATGTGTTGTATAATAGCAAAGAGGCATGGTCAAGGACTGATAGAGCTGGAGAAAGACAACAGTGAGTCATGACCACATGCTTCCTTCAGAACACGCAAAACGTGGTGCTGCATCATTATCCTTTCATAGGCCAGCACTGACATCTTTCATTTCCTAACCTGGAACACCTGTCATTGCTTATCTATTTGTAAAGCTACAATCTCATTCCTCTCTGCTAAATAAACATATTAGTGATTTGAGAATTCTCAAGACGTTCCAAGCCTTGTAGTGTTACAATCTGGAAATATAATAATTTTATTGTCATTTGATAAATCCCAAGATATCTTATGCTTAGAAGGTGAAACATATTTATTTTATGCTGGTGGACAGACAGGCCCTTAATGCTGTCACTCAACTTCTTCCCATCCCAATGTTAGATGATCTTTGCTTGTAAATTGAAGCACGTAAATGAGCAAAATGTAAAAAATTTTCCCATGTATTTTTTATTGAAGGTTTTCCAAAAGTTTAAATCAGTACTTAGTTGCCTCTTAATGTATACAATCAAGTAGTTAGTGAGTTACGAGGTAATACAATCGTACTCTAAAGTCGTACAATAACAACATCCGCTTCTATTTATAATTCAACATATTGACGTAGATAGTTTACCTTCATTTAGGTCTATGTTAACAACTCAAATCAACTCAACAAAGGTATATACACAAACAAGTAGGCAGGCAAACCAAGTTATGTCAGATCCGGTAATTTCTGTATACTCTGTTCCCTCCATGTCTATACAAATCCCTGTCTATGTTTCCATGGGCTATCTAGGTCCCCCTTGGCCCCTCTCCACTCCTCTCACCGTCCAGGGTGACTTTTCTCCCCATACCATGTCTCCCAAACCTTCCAAATGTCTCTAAAACTTTCCATGGCCTTAGTGGTGTCGGTGGACCTTTTCTCGTATACATAAAATTGTTGTATTTTGTCTGTCAATTGTTGTATGGTTGGGAAACTATGTTTTTTCCAATTTAGTGCTATTAGGTTTCTAGCAGCCATTAGAACTATCAAAATTAATTGTTTGTGGTTCTGCTGCGTTGTTCTGGGGAATAACAGGAGTAAGCAGGTCGTTATGTTCATGGGGAAATCCCTAACTCCCAGGTCCCTTAATAAATTCTTAACATCTCCCCAGAGAGGTTGTATACCGCTGCATTGCCACCATATGTATGGTATAGATCCCTCTTCCATTTTTTAATACCATTTAGGGCTTCATCCATTCGTCATCTGTCAATTCTTTCCGTCTCTCGTTCTCCCAGTTCTGTTTACATGCTAATGGTTTTCGGGGTGTTAATTCTAGCCATGCTTTATAGCAGAGTGAGAGGGCTTTGGGTTTCGTCAGAGCTGCCCAGCATCTGTGGGGTATAAGTCTTGCTGCTACTGTGGTTGTAGGCATGGTGGATGGCGTGTTTTTGACATGTGTGTTTATCGCATTTTTTAGTTGTAAGTAAGGGAAGATATCCCTCACTGGTACCCCCCATTTATCCCTTATATCCGGGAAACTCATGATTGATTGTTCTCTGCACAGCTGTTGGATTTGGGATATACCTAGGTGTGACCATCTGGCTAGGGGGATCGTGGGGTTCACTGCGTGGAGTGCATTTAGGGGAGCTTCAGGGTGGAAGTGTTTCTTCCAGCCAAAGGAGGACATAAAGTCATCCCACACTTTGATCGTTGCAGTTGTGGTAGGATATAGGCTCATTTTAGGGCCCCTCAATGTTCTCGGCGTCCACATGTAATTAAGCAGTGAGGTTTGACTAAGTTGGTCTTGTTCCATATCTACCCACTGTGTTACTCCCTGCTGGGCATGCAGGTGTATGCTCGTTGCTAGGATAGAGGCTTTATAGTATAATCCAATATTGGGTAGGCCTATGCCCCCCATATTTGTTGTCCTTTGTAGGAAACTTAGAGGCAGCCTGGGTTTCTTACCTCCCCAAATGTAGGAGTTGCATATGGCTTGCAAAGATTTATAGATTACAGCCTGGATATCGATAGTGAGCATCCGAAATATATACAGTAGCCTTGGTAATAGCATCATCTTATATGCATTTACTCGACCCAACCATGACAGTTTCGCATTTTTCCATTTATGTACATCTGTGGTGCATAACTGTATGAGGGGTTTGTAATTGAGCTTCACTACGTTGCTAATAGGAGTGGCAATCTTAACTCCTAAATACGTTATGGACGTTGTCCGCCAGTCTAGTTCAAAGGAGGTTTTAAGGGTATTTACAGTAGGCCCTGGTAGATTTATCGGTAAGCGGTAGTATGAGATTCCGCCATAGTCTGTCAGTAATGTTAGTAGTGGGGGTAGTGATTGCTCTGGGTCCGAAAGTGCCACAAAGATATCGTCTGCGAACATCGCCAGACAATAGTCCCTGTCCTTTAATGTAATACCGGTTATGGCTCAGTGTCTTTGTATTTTCCAAGTCAACGGTTCTAGGGAGAGAATGTACAGCAAGGGGACAGTGGGCATCCCTGGCGTGTCCCGTTTGTAATGTGAAAGGTTCGTGATAGGAAGCCACCATGGGAGACCCCAGCACTGGGTTGTGCGTACAATGCCAATATACCCCTGATGGTCTCTTCAGGGAACTGATATTTGGATAGTACCTGTGTCATATATTGCCAGTTTAGTCTATCGAAGGCCTTTTCAGCGTCCAGCGCCAGGAAAAGACCTCTGAGATGCTCCCTCTCCATCCCTGCTACCATGTTTAGTACCTTCCTTTAGTTATCAGAGCCCTGTCGGCCCCTCACAAATCCTGACTTATGCAGAAGATTTTGCATAGATTTTGGCATCGCTATTGAGCAGCGAAATGGGCCTGACATTTTAACAGTGATCTTTGGTTTTACCAGGTTTAGGAAGCATGGAGACATGTGCCATTGTTACTTCTTCTGGCAATGCTCCTTCCTTCATGCATTGGTTAAACATATCACCGAGAGGTTGAGCTAGGGCATTAATAAAGGTACGGTTGTATTTATTAGGTAGGCCATCAGGGCCCGGTGATTTGTTTAGGGGGAGTGTGGAGATCACCAAGGTGATCTCCTTTACTGTGAAGGGCCTACTAAGATGTTCCGCGTCCGTGTTGGATAAGGTCGGGAGGTCGACTCCTGATAAGAAGGCTTCAATTTCTGCTTTTGAGGGGCAGATCATCTGTCGGTTGTCTTTTAGATTATATAATTTTTTCATTTCATCGTCACGGACTCATCATTGAGTAAACTTTGACCCTGTACCTCACAGTCAGCAGACACATTCCAGCCAATCAGAAGCAGACCCTCCCTCCCAGACCCTCCCACCTCCTGGACAGCTCACTAAGAATACAGCTTCACAATGGATGCTGTTGCTACCCAACAGTTCGGGACATCACTACTTGTGGGTCTAAAATTTTGGTTCCCTTGGAACTTTTGAGGGAGGCAATCCTGGAGGTTGTAGTTCTCTGTTTTAATTGAGCAGCCAATCGTGCTCCTTCTTTGTTGCCCGCAGCAAAAAAGCTGTGTTTAAACCTGCGTGTAAGGAATGTCGTTTTGGCTAGTTCCAAATCTCTCAGCCGTGATTGTAAAAGCAGCAGTTTAGTATGGGTGGAAGCCGTGAGGGAGTGTTTGTTAGTGTGGGTTAGAGATGTTTATTCGGAAAGTATGGCCGTGTATGTTTCTAGTCGCTTCTTTTTTGCGTAGCTGGCATGCTTGATGAAGCAACCTCGTATGAAGCTATTCTCGAATAGCTGTTATGTGCTGCTGTGTGGCATGTATAGTCCCTTTCTGTAGGATGTGTGACTCGCCATGGGTCTGCGAGATTGTGTGATGTTAGTTTGTTGCAGATTTGTGTGGTTAGTTTGGACCTCCGGAGGCTGTCTAATAATAAATTTGTGTCACCTCCAATGATTACCTCCCCCAGTGCATGTGCAGACATCAATCCAAGCAGTACATCAGCAAAGTCACATTGGTTAGCAATAGGCCCATATACATTAATCAAGGTATAGACATTGTTATTCAGGGAGCATTGCAATATAAGGTATCTTCCCTTTTTATCCCCTATTTTACATATTAAGGAGAATGCTACATCTCTGCTGATACTCCTCTCTTTTTGGTTGAATAGCATGAGTGGTAATCTATGGGGTACATTGGGGAGTTAAATTTGGGTATGTAGCCCCATTTAAAGTGCGTTTCTTGAAAGAACATTACGTGGGCACCCAACGATTTTGCTTCCCGTAGGGCTAGGCGGCGTTTATGGGGGGAATTCAACCCTTTAGCATTTAGGGAGCATATTTTAAGCACCATCTTGTGACCTCTCGGGGGCAGGTGGGGTGCCTTGCTTGTACTAGTCTCCCTACTGGGAGGCACCTGTATAGCTACCATGGCGGTGCCAAATGGTGTTGGGGACATGGGACTCACATTCCTTGGGGTCTGCCTTAAAAAGAAATAAAAAGGAGACAACAATACAATAACTGAACCAATAATCAACTATGTACAACATTCCGTTCACTGCGCCTCTGCGGGGCAGTGTTAGGTATAACGGTTTCTCTTGTGGCTCTGATCTGACAGCCACTTTGGGGGTGGGTATTAAAATCAAGAGCAAGGTTTTAACGGTAACAATTATTAAAGCAATTCTCAAGGGGCAAAATTATAATTTTTAATTCATTTTATTTGTTCAATATTTTATTTTTACAGATTAACTGCATCCTTTGTTTACATTAACATTTCTTCATTTTAACGTGCAGTCACCTTAAAATACAAGGACCTCGTACAGTAGGAAACAAGAAAAACTATTACTCCAAACTTTTACTGTAAAGCCACTGCTAAGACCCTAAGACTCCCCTTTTTGGGGGATGTAGAAATGCAATAATGGTGGTTACTATAAAGGAAAATAAAATAAAATGGATCTAGGGCACAAAAATAATTAATTACAAATTACTGTCACCAACGTCCCCTTATTCTGCTTGAGAAAACAAAAATAGATAAACAGATAATAAAAGGGTTAATAAAAACTATGTATTAATTTTAATATTCTGCTTTCTATATGAAAACCGTCTCTCTCGATGGCTTATTTACTGTCCTAGTGCAATCATCTATTTTAATTCATATTTGTATGCACCTATTCTTCATTTCTATCCTTGAGCATAAACTGGCATTCTGCACCAGCCACCTTAAGTGCTAACCAAGTACTATAACCACTACACTAATAATATCTTCGACTCCTCCTATAGCCAAGTGTTCATCGTATCTCATAGTAATGGTTATCATGGGGTCAGCAGATGGAGCAGCAGTTTAATTGGTGCTTGAAAACAACTTGACAAAAAACAGAGGGGCTTTAGTCATATAGCCCAGGCAACATAACTACTACAAAAAAAAACTTAAAAGGGCTGCCTATAGGGCTCTGGTGGCGGTTTGACTAAAGGATATTGGCATCTCCATCCAGGAGGTCATTCTAAAAGGTAATGGATAATTTTCTCATGGATAAATTAACTGTGATAGTTTCTAGTACCTTCTTTTGCTTCTGACAAGCATGGGGTCCATGGCTGGGTTGCATCCCAATGGTGTTCACCTCCACCTTGTCTTACCCTTCTCATTTTCTCTTACGTTTTTTTTAAAAACATTTTTTCACTGACTGTAATTTAAATTGAGAGGTGCCATGCTCTTATCGATGTGCTTTATCCGTGCTCTATGTCTCCTAAAATTATTTAAGAACAAAAAAACTGTAGAGGGTATAGTGTTTGGAATGTCCTTTCAGGATTATTACCAGAGAAGGACTGAGAGAAGGCTAATAAAGTTAGATATAGTCTAAATAAATGTATTTAGGGAGAAATATACAAGTGTTGTATTTCTGAGAAAAAGTTCCAAAGATGTGAAATCACCAAGAACATTCCATCAGATTCTATTGCAGTTGCTCCACTTTTAGAAATTGCCTCTGTAATCTCATCCTGTGACTGTATAATTTCCTTATTGAACATTCAGATCACTCCAGACCAAATATAATAATATACACATTCTTTCTGGCAGTCATTAGTGATGTCCCGAACTGTTCGCCGAACAGTTTGCCGCAAACGGTTTGCCGCGGACTCATCATTGAGTAAACTTTGACCCTGTACCTCACAGTCAGCAGACACATTCCAGCCAATCAGCAGCAGACCCTCCCTCCCAGACCCTCCCACCTCCTAGACAGCTCACTAAGAATGCAGCTTCACAATGAATGTAAAATGGATGCTGTCCAGGAGGTGGGAGGGTCTGGGAGGGATTAATGAATTCTGGCTCTGCAATTTCTGTCACCAAACATTTAGTTAACCCGATGATCCATCAATATTATTAGGGTTAGTTTGTGATTTAAAGGACATCATTATATCCATTGTGGTAGAATGTTGTGCTAATTTAACAGCTAGCTTGATTAAAGACCCGGGAGATCCTGTGAAAACCTTGCCTTCCCAGATCTTGTTCTGGATGAGCTGCAGTTCTGTCTTTTTAGGGCCTATCACAACTACCTTATAAGCTCCGGGAATTTTAACTCTGAAAGTCTCCCAGCTTTCCGCTTCGAGAAGACCAGCTCTTGGATGTAACAATATGCAACCTTGTCTCCAACCACTGTAAACCTTTGGGAAAGGAAGCAATTGGGTATCAGCGAAGCATCGTATCACATAGTCACACACATGAGAGAACTCCTGGCTTTTTCCTTGACTCTTAGCAAAAATGCTCAGTTTATAATACCCTGATAATGGAAGATGTAGGCTTACACTGATTTTGTGCTCCAGGTGTGTAACCAAACAATATCTGTCTAGCGAGGACAAATTAGTCTTCCCTTTGTTCTCTTCAAGTGTAGCAAGCAGCTCAGTGGCAGATGAGGTGTGAAAGCTTATAGTGCATGCCCCACTTGTTGTGTTAATAACGGGATGAAGGTGGCTCGGATCTTTGAGCCCATTCACTTTCGAATTAAGACCTGGTCCACAGTGGATGCTAAGATCAGATGGATAAAGTTCATTATGGTTTATTGGGTTGGTGCATTGAATAAGTAAATTAGCAGCATTTTTATAATGTTCTCTATTCACATCCTTCACAAACAATGAAAGTCTGTAGTACCCAAGGTATGGGAACAGTAGATGGCAGCTTAGTTGTGTTTCTTCAATGTGAGATACAAAACATTTCTTACTGAGCGGTCCAGTCAGTTTTTTGTGAACTAACTCGTACATTGCCAACAATGGCCTTAATGTCTTGAAAATTACGCTCAAACTGCTGCTTGCCACTATGAGGTCCTCTTCATAATTATATCCACTGACTCCAAAATCTTTAGCATTCTGGTGAAGGCCCCAAAAATGGAAAGGGTTTCCAATTAACAAGTCAGAACATTTAGCCTGTGTGCAATCAATTTGGTACGAACAAACCCACTTGTAGATGTCTTTGTTGTCCATAGGTCTTGCGAAAATCATGAGCTCAAACAAACCTTCCACTGGTGGAATAACTCTGAGGGTCATCGATAAATGATGCATAGTCAATATGCCATACATCTTTTCTACAAGGTGTCTTTCATTGTTGGAAAGGTTATAAATCTTATAGCTGAACTCCATTGGCTTCGAGCATCCCAGCGATACTTGCACCTGACCATGATCTGCAAACAAAAAGCGTAATGAGATACAAACATTTATGGTAGGTAATTTAGAAAGTATGATGAGTCAAAATCCTGTGGAATGCAAGAAAAAAATTAGAAATATAATGGGTTTTTAATATGTCCCTTAGCGTTCTTTTATTTATTATTTACTGAAACTGTGTATCAATAGTTTCCAAGAATACTAACAAAACGTAGTTTATATTCTTTTGAGTTGATCATCTCTAGTTTTGGGACTCATTAGAACACACCAAACAATGAGTACTAGTGGGTTAAGAACTATTTGAAAATGTAGATCAAAATAATAATAATAATAATAAAAAAGACATAGATATATGTCTCAGGCAATTTAGTGGTGTACAAGCGTGTGTGGGTGACTCTTTAGATCAGGGGTATGCAACCTTTGGCACTCGAGATGTTGTAGACTACATGTCCCCTGATACTTGACCAGCATGTAAGAGCATACATCTGTAGTGCTGAAGGTTGCCTATTCTTGCTCTAGATCATAAATATCACAAATCACATGACTGTTTGCTGAAGGCACTAATTAAATTATCCAGTGCATTACTGAACATTAAT